TAATCCCCGGCAGCAGCAGCCTGCCAACCACATGGCCCCAATCCCCATCGGCAGCAACTGCCCACCAACCCGCGGTCCTAATCCCTGGCAGTAGCAGCCTCCTGCCACACGGCCACAGCCCCAACAACAGCTGCAGAGGAATGATGTTGCAGCCTCACCTTAGTGTTGTCTTGTACTGAGAGAGTATATAGACCTGAGTGTCTGGTCTAGGAGGTTATGGCTCCCCCTGGCCACATCTGACCAGATGTTTAGGTTCTTGTCCCAACCCAAGCTGCAGAGAGAGCCCAGAAAGTTTTATTCCAGAAGGGGAGTTTTGGAGAATATGGCATGGGCACTTAAATAGAGGACAATACCAGTTCATTAAAACCTGTATTAAAACAAGTGAAACGTCAAAAGGCACATAGTTGCTAAAACATAATAAACATGAAGGACTCCCTCTGATAACACTACACAATTAGAGATACACTCCTTTTTGAAGACCTGGTGTTAGGAGGCATAGAACCAGCCTTGCTCCTGGCTCACCAATGAAGTTGAAGGTCCAGGCAGGTAGAGTGTAGAGCAGCTAAACTATATTACGAAGCTAAGCTAATAGTTGATCGAAGTGCATGAGCAGCAGAGAAAAAGTGCCAAACTAGAACCTAGAGAACATTAGTACCTCCTAGACTAAGCAACATGAATATTTATAGGGTCTTGGCATTTCTTGATTCAGACCCAACCTACCATGACCAGATTTTATTTCCTCATCCTAAGAAATTATGGGTACACTTATTCTATAGGTTAGTTGATTATGATACTTAACACTACATGGGTATGTCTACACTAGCTCGTTAATTCGAGCTATGTAGGCAAATCAGGGAACCGGAGTGGCAAATGAAGCCCGGGATTTAAATATCCTGAGCTTTAGTTGCATGTTCCTGTCGGGCCGCCATTTTTAAATCCCCCTTAGTCCGAACAAACTGCCTGGGGCTACACGCGGCAGTTTAAAGTTAATCCGAACTAAGTCCTTAGTTTGGATTAACTGTTACTCCTCGTGGAAGGGGGATTTAAAAATGGCGGCCCGACAGGAACATGCAACTAAAGCTCAGGATATTTAAATCCCGGGCTTCATTTGCCACTCCGGTTCCCTGATTTGCCTACATAGCTCGAATTAACGAGCTAGTGTAGACATATCCCATATTAGGGAGGATTCTCTCATTCCTGAAACCATTGCCTCTGACCCTTCTAGCAATTTCTTTGCTGTTTCTTTTGCAGTTACTGACTGATTCTGGTATCAGGTGAACCAGCTCAAAATGGGTATAGTTCCTCTATTTGGTTCCCCCAAGCTGAGGGACATTTGAGCAAGCATTTTGTCTGGGATAGAGGTTGCTTACACAAACTCTCTGTACTGTACTTTAGTTGTTCATACGGGACACAGGCTTTTAGGTCTCTTGCATTACAGCTTAATACCATGAATACTTAAAACATAATATTTACTATAAATACAAACATAATAATGAATACAATTATAAATTAGTATAAATCAACCCAAAAGTTATCTGATATGACATGCAAGCAACTTAACTTTATAGGCTACCGCCTCTTATAGGCTGAGTGAAATTAATTATTGCTAGGAGGTGTTCCCTCAGTTGAAGGCTACTGCTGCCGTAGGGTATGTCTAGACTACACGGTTGTTTTGAAAAAACTGCCCTTTTTTAAAAAAAAACTTCACCTGTGTCCACAGTACTCTCACGTTCTTTCAAAATTAAATTGAAAGAACGCAGAGGTTTTTTCAACATTGGTAAACCTCAAATTACGAGGAAGAATATGTTTTTCGAAAGAGCTCTTTCGAAAAAAGGCATGTGTGGATGCAGAACAGGAACATTTTTTAAAATAAGAGAAAATTGAAAAAAGTGCAGGTCCCCTGGTGGCCATTCTGTGAATAGCAATCAGGGCTTTCTTTCAAGAGAGCATCCATGCAGTCTGGATGCTCTCTTTCGAAAAAGCAGATCGCCTTTTCGATCTGGTTTTGAGGTATGGATGCTCACTTTTGAAAGAAGCTTGCAGTCTAGACGTACCCCTAGTGTAGCCAGGTGGTGGGCTTTGTTCTTTGAGGATCTCCATCCTAAAATAAATGAGCTTATTCTCTCACCTGAGGATTACCTGTGTGATGGTTGATGCTACATAGGGGGATGCTCATAAAGCAGTAGGTAAGGCTGGCTCTATTTACATGTCAGGCAGTATGGCCAAACCTAAGCTATCAAAAGTGATAGGTCAATTCGTTGTGGGTTCTTTCTATTCATAGGTGACGGGTGCAGTGGTGCTTACAAGGGTGAGAGTGCAGGACAGACCACCCAGAGGTACAAGGAAGGGGCACTCCATTTAGTAAATAAAATGTTGATGGGGAAATGGAGGGGCAGAGATTGGCACATCCTGAATGTTACCACAAGCCATTTATATTTCTATTCTATTGGCCAGGACTTCCCAAAGTGTGCTCTGTGGAGCCCTGGGGTTCCATGTGATGGGTTCAGGGGCTCTGAGAGACAATATTAATGACAGTTGTATGACCCTGTAATTTCGTTACTAATTTTCTGATAGTTTTCTGGGGGAAAAAAGAATTTATAAGAAATACAAGAAATAAAA